GTATCTTCGAATTTGCGTCTTTTATTTACGGTATTTCCATTTTCTAGTCCGACTGTGAGCTAATCCCAACAGGAAATACAATTTCAAAACGTTAAAAGAATGCGACGTTTGTATCATATGACTCTGGAAATGCCAGAAATCGATTCTAAAGGTAAAAGTACACCTACGCCCATGGTTTTTGACGTCATCCGGCTACTAACCTGAAGTTCAGGCCCTATCACAGAATAGGGCCTGACACAAAACCTATCTAAAGTGTGGGATTCCCGTCCACCTGGTGGACGGGAAATCTGATTGGTTGATCAGCATCATGAAGGATTTTGATTGGTTGCAAGTTCACATAAATAACAGTTTTAAAAATAGCTCGGTCAAGGCGAGAATTAATATAAAGGTCAAACGCACGTAACAAATTCCATTATCGATTTCTTCGAATTTCTTTTCTTTTATGCTTTATGGAAGAAAATAAATCAAACAAACAGTATTTTGAAAGGGCTTCATCAAAATCTTTGACGAATTTTGGACACACACACGACGCTGAAAGAACAGCCAAACTAGTCCTGTATTCGAAAGCTTGTTGTTGACAGCCAAGATGTTCTGCCAACTTGCTTCGCCGGCAAAAGTCTTATTTTTAATATCAGGTCCTACCGGCGTTGTTTTCTGAGCTACATCGCCTTCTTCGTGGTATGATTGAGAATTTAATTGTTGCTGTTATTAGCCCGTTAGTCGTTAGAGTATATCCGCGTCCAGCAAGTTGAGACCTTGAGAAAGCTTGGCAGTCAAGCCGTGCACAGAACTGACTAATTAAATCTTTGTTTGCTGTTCGCCTGTTCGGTTAAATAGAGAAACTGACTCTTAATTATATTAAGTTTAATTAAAAAGCAAAATGCTCTGCGGACATGTTCATGAGAATATAATTTTTTTGTGTAACGAAATCTACAACAATTGTCAATCATATTGCATGTGTGTCTAAAAATAACATGTGGGCGTCTCACGGTCTAGACAGGTTTTGTGTCAGGCCCTATTTCAAATTAGGGCCTGAACTTCAGGTTATCTAGACTTGCTCCAAGTCTCTCTTTGTGGAGACCCACTATATTGTACGTTACATGACGTACCGCTGAGGGGGAGAGGAGGAAAGAGAAGAGAGACTTGTAACATCTGGCAGCAGACATACTTCCGGCTGGTCAATTTCGACCAGCCGGAAGTAGATGGCCGCATTGACTTATCATGTGGTTAGGGGGGGAAGGCGACATCTGGACTTATTTGTTTAACATAAGTAATTTTGTATTCACGAGATTTCTTGTAGATTTCACATCACTTTTGACTGCGTGCATTTGGAATTTTGGGCATTATTTTTGCAATTTATTGTAAACAACGATTATAAGAAGAACGGATAAATTACAAATCAGCCGTATTAATCGTCATAAACCTCGATGACCACCAGGTTTTTGTGTTTGACAATTTGTATTTCAGTAGATATTTATATGCAAGGTCAGTATGAACGGGTTATCATATCAAGCAGTCAAGACGTGTCTGAAATAGCTCCCATGTCTCTGTAAAAAGGATTACTTGGCAGAGGCCTTTTACTGATAAGAATTTTACAGAGTCATATATGCTTACTTATTACGGCAAGTAATTTATCAGAATGCCAGAAACAGGTCAAAAAAACGTTCAAACAAGAAGTCAAGCGAGGGCACCACCCAACTTCGAAGGCGACGACATGAAGGAATATATTAAATCAGAAGTTGAAAAATATTTTGGTTCAGTGGCGTTTCAGGATTCGCTACGCGAATTTATTACCGATTCAGTAAAAATGGCGTGTAAAAATCTTGTCGAAAGTATAGTTGTGCCAATTAAAGATGAAATCCAAGCCTTGAAAACAGAACTTATCGAAGTTAAGCGAAAATGCAATGACAATGAGCAATATTCGAGGCGTTCAAGCGTTAGAATTTATGGCATTCCCGAGGTTCCCAAAGAAAATTGCATAAAGAAAGTGTGTGATTTCTTTCAGAAAGAAATGGATTTGGCGTTTGCAGAAGAAGATATTGATAGAACCCATCGTGTAGGCAAGAAAAATCGAGATGGAAACCGCGCCATGATTGTAAAGTTCAAAGCTTATGACAGCAAAAGGTCCGTCATGAAAGTAAAAAAAGCTAGATTAAGTAACAAAACCTTTTCTGTCTACGAGGACCTCACGTTCTTAAATCGAAAACTTTTGTATCTGGCAAGAAACGAGTACAAGGAAACTCCTGTGTGGACGATAGACGGTAGGGTCCTTGTAAATATGGATGGTCGTGTTCAACCTTATGTCCCAACGGTTAACATTTATACTTGGTTACAATCACCTAGTTCATGAATTTGATAATACCTAATTGACTCGTGTGTTAATTTGAAAATACTTTTAGGCCCTGTCTCTCTTTTTTGTTGTATCCTAACTGCTTTTCAGTCAGTTTGTATACGATTGTAGTGGTAACTGCATTTCAGTCAGTTGCATACTTAAATTTACTTGAGCAACAGCGGTTGTTTATTTCTCACTAAAATTTTTTGCTGATAACAATGGGAATTTGTTTGGAAATTTACAGAGCAGCGATTGGTCTATTTAATAGTCGTTCAGAAACTTTTCGTTCGCGTATCGCATTTACATTCCTTTTAACATCAATTTTCTCTGGCTCATTGCATATCATAGCTTTATTAAGTATTTTTTACTTAATGTGTCCTGACATAGAATCAAATCCAGGACCAAATCGCAAGTGCCCTTTATTGGTCGGGCATTTAAATGCACGTAGTCTAAATATAACCCACAAGTTCGACGAGATCGCTTCAATTATCTTAGACCAAAAATATCACATTTTTGCCATTTCTGAAACATGGTTGAATGAATCGATTTCTAGCGATAATTTAGCTATTCCTGGTTATTACCCCTTAATTCGTTTAGATAGGCGTGATGGGAGACGATATGGGGGTGTTGCCTTTTATGTTTCTTCCGGATTGACAATTAAAAGAAGAAATGATTTAGAAGTTAATGAACTGGAAATTCTATGGATAGAAACTAAAATCAATTCTTTTAATATTATTTGCGGGGTATGTTATAGACCACCTTCCAATCTTTCTGGAGAGTATCTTGATTTCTTAGCAAATTTACAATATAGTGTTGACAAAGCCTCCACTGATTCAAATTCCTTACTTATTCTTTTGGGGGACTTTAATGCTAATTATGACCCTTTTAATCCTTTACAAGGCAGTGATTTTGGTGTGATGTTTTATCGCTGGATGGAGTCTAGTAATTTACATCAAGTTATTAATGAGCCAACCCGTATTACACGGTCTGGTGAAGCTATGATAGATTTTATTGTAACTAACTGTCCTGGATTATTCGTTGCTACTGGAACACTAAGTCCTCCGGCTAATTGCGACCACTCAATCATTTACGGTAAACTAAATATATTTTTGCCTAAACCTAAGTGTTATAAACGTTTAATCTGGCTCTTTGATAATGTGAATGTACATGATCTCTGCACTGGTTTGGAAAATGTCCCTTGGGATTCTATTGTGTTTGATAAATCAGATTTGAACGAAATCTACAATTCTTGGTATGCCTGCTTCCGCTCGGTTGTTGAGACCAATATTTATAAGTAATAGCATGGCTTGAGGGAGATTAGTGATTAAATGGCCCCGTAACCCGAGGCAGGTTTGCGGAATTCCCGAGGGCGAAGCCCGAGGGAATTCCGCAAACCTGCCGAGGGTAAGGGGTCATTTAATCACTAATCTCCCGAAAAGCCATGCTATTAGTTTGTAATAGCATAGTTTCGCTCCCATTTAAAAATGGACAAACATGCCCTACTTGGAATCAGCGTATTTAAGCTAAAACATTTGCTTCATTGCTTGTGGGATGTAAAAGCTTGTTGCACATGCGCACTTTTTACGCTTTAATCGGTTACGCATGCGCAATCTATCATTTAACGTACCACAACAAAAACGCTAAATATATTAGTATAAAATTGGAGACTGCACGAACGTAATTTAAATGATGCGGCAACTCAGGGATCGGATGATAGACTATTGACGGCTCTGAGCTAACTGTTGCTGTTCCTTGCACGATTATGTGCGTGAGGCACTTGCCTGATGCGTAGTCGTCAGGGAGACAAAGGTGTGACCCTTGGTAACGGGCGATTAGTTCTAATCGCCCGCTACAGCGGGCGATTAGAACTAATCGCCCGCTACAGCGGGCGATTAGTTAGTAATCGACCCTGTTGAAACAAAAGAAACCCGGGCAACTATGCTATTATACTAATAAACTTGTGATCATTCGACCTCGTGATAAACCGTGGATGAACAATTTTATTAGGTCAGCTATTCGAAAACGGAATAGACTGTTAAGAGTCTATAATAGAAAAAAGTCAACAGTACTATGGCAAAAATATCGTCAGCAGCGAAATTTCACTACAACTTTAATTAGGAATAATAAAGCTAGGTATTTTGAAAAAGTTAACAATCAATTGGATGATCCTTTGACAGGCCCTAAAAAATGGTGGACTGTAGTTAAGACCTTATATGGTGGAAAGGTGCAAGTAGCAGTTCCCACTCTTATAGACGGTTTAAGAGAGGTCACCGATCCGAAGGCAAAAGCTGAAATTTTTAACGATTATTTTTGTTCTCAGTGCAATGTAGATGACCAAAATACAGTTGTTCCAAACGATATTATTTACTTCCAAACCTGTGCGGAACTATCTTACATTCAAACAACAGAAAGAGAAGTTTACGACCTTCTTGTGGCACTTGATATTTCAAAGGCCTGTGGTCCAGATGGTATTAGTAATAAAATCATTAAATTATGTGCGGGTGGGCTTTACGGACCCCTGACAACATTAATTAATGCATCTTTGGATGCTGGAGTCTTTCCGGAAGAGTGGAAAATTGCAAATGTGGTGCCACTGTTTAAAAAAGATGATCGCCAGTCAAAGCTAAACTATCGTCCAATTTCTCTTTTGAACTCTCTTTCTAAAATCATGGAAAAAATAGTTTATAAAAATCTTTACAATTTTCTCTTAGCTATTGGTTATCTCAATGATCTCCAGTCAGGGTTTCGCCCAGGTGATTCTACGGTTAACCAGTTAACTTATTTAGTTCATAAAATTTATCTTGCCCTTGAAAATGGACATGAGGTCCGTATGGTCTTTTTGGACATAAGCAAGGCTTTTGATAAAGTTTGGCATAAAGGCCTTTTATATAAATTGAAATGTTTAGGAATAAAAGGGTCTTTGCTATCATGGTTTCACAGCTATCTTTCTGGTAGAAAACAGAGAGTAGTTATTGAAGGGCAATCGTCTGGCTGGGGTGATCTTGAGGCAGGGGTACCACAAGGTTCTGTTCTTGGACCCTTACTTTTCTTAATTTATATTAATGATATCAC